CCTTTATCAGATTTACAATGATGAGAAAAAGAACAAAAGATACCTCCAGCTTCACATTTGCTTCATGGGAAGACCATAGAGAAGGATGAAGCATAATGATCGTCCTTTGCTGCATCGGTCACCCTTCGCCGCATAAGGGCGCTTGGAGGCAATACCAGTATCTTTGAGAAGGTTTTGATGTATATAGAGTATGCAACTAATTTGCAAGGAACTACTAATAAAAGAATAACACTAGAAGCTTATTCTCAGAAAGGGAAAAAAAAAGCCGGTAACTGTATAAAACAAGAAAAGAACCTCCGTTTGTTTGCTTTTTCGCCTTTCCTGAAAGAATCTGGGAAAAAAATCATCACTGCAGAATATGGATCGCTGTCACGCTAGTCATTAGGATCCCATTCTTCATCCTGGTCAAAAGCTGAAGCCACTTTACTTTTTGCAAATTCTTCATCAGTTTCTGACTGTTCAGCGAGAAGGTCATGTTCGTAATCAGGCTGATCACCATCATCAGTTTTACTCTTTTCTACCCCAGCTGATTTTATCCATTTAGGGCATTCATCCTCGCCTCCATAGAGTAATCTGCCATCGTCACTTCGTATTTGCCTTGATTCGTCAAGGGCCGATGTTCTGCATGAGCATTCAGGAAGTGGATGCGAAAGAAACAACCTAGGTTTCGACAGCATAGACTGCCTGATAAGCCCACTTTCACTCAAACTTGAGTTGAGATGTTTCCTCACACGAAGTGTCCAGTTACGATTGGGATGGTACATGTCCTCACGGGTAATGTTGAAAAGTTCTTGAATAACTTTCCTGTTTGAAAATTAATGAACAGTCGTTAATTAATTTGAAAAACAGATATTCCATAGAGTAGTGAAATATAAGATCTGTGTATCAGCCAAATAGATGGACCTAATATCTACATTCAACCTAACTATGAACAAGGGAGCTAAAGCCAACAAGCTCTAGATCAATTTCACCTTCAAAATGCAGTCATTAATTGTCAAGTAATAAGCTTGCTTACCTGTCCAGTCTATATGTTCGTGACGAGGGTCTTTCATAGAGCCTTTGACCCATTACCAAACTTGAAAAATCGGGGAACCCACTACCATCATTGTTGAAACCAGGGAAAAACACATCGGCTTCTACAGATACAACAAAATCAAGTGCATCCCACAGTAACCTGTGTGCTTGATTCCTAAGATCCATAGGTGAAGGGCTTGGTTCTGTATCATTCTCCGTAAGCCAACCATACCACCCTTCTTTTTCGTGCTGGTAGATAGGTCTGTCAGGAGGAGGAGGGAGAGGTCTAGGCCGAGGACCTGCCTTGTTCCACTCTTCTTTGAGCTGCTTATCACTTTTTCGAGGAGGCATTTTAAATGTATTTTCTGGAAGAGGTGTCTCAGGACCAACCAATTCTGATAATTCCTCCATGCTGCATAAAGAAGTCCGATCAACTGAATTAGGGAACATGGCACGCAGAGGGATCAAAACACGTTGGCCGCCAAACATTTCAGAACCAGCCAAGTATATAATCGCTTTTTGAGAATAACCCAATGCTTTCAGAAGAATTCCAACCTGAAAAATTTCAGTACCGATAAACTCTTTGCATAAGAGGACATATAAGCATTTTTAACATAACTTGAGAGACTGGATTCTACCTCTTCTGGCATAAGAGGACATAAGCCATTATCCCTGCGCAAGTGTGAGTCTACAATAACTTCTTCTGAAATTATTTTCTGCTTGATCATCTGAGCCCGCCGATACTGAATGAGTTCACTGTGAACATCCTTTAAAAATTGAAAGGATGAGTAGCGTCAGAAACCGATTCCACCGTTCAAAACTACTCCTCAAGTAACTCAAGCACCAAGGGTATACAGGAAAAAAGCATATCTGATATAAACGCTTTGTTCTTTCAAAGAATACAGATGGAGAAGATTGAAAAATTTTACCTGGAAAAGCTCAGCACAACCATGATACGCCAATTTGTCCCTCGCTAAGCCCGGATGATAAGCTAGAAAGGGTTGACCTGATTTACGTAACCTGTAAAAGGTAACATTTAGCTCAATTCTGTCAGGGACGCACAGTTTTTAGGGGTCGATGGACAAAACCGTGACACATAAGTATAGTCATTTCTAGTTACATAGTACTCCACCTCAAGATCCCAAGCTAAATTAAAAAAAAAAAGGCCACCCCTGAAACTTATTGATTATAGTTCTCAGCTAGGTGCTCCACGATAAAGAAACACAAGCTTAGCACGTAATGTTCTTTCCCGCCATCAAAGCCATAACTATCTCCTGTTTCTTCCCTTTCGTCATATAAAATTTAAATTGCAAATATCACAAGTACCTGTCAACCATCTTCTTGCCCAACACTTGGATTTCTGAACGAAGCTGGAGGGCATGGAAGGCAACTCTACACCTTAGTCTTTGAAGTTCAGGCATTGAAGCTGGCAACGTTGACTGAAACAAGACAAATTTATTGAGGATAAAACACCTTGTTTAACTAATATAACAAATTCTTCATTTAAACACAAAATGACCAGAACGTGATATGACGAGTGATGGTAGTTTGCAGGCAGAAAGATATTTACTCAAAGATCTCTATAGACTTAGAAGTTACTGTATACAATATATAACACTCTAAGGGAGAAAAAACACTCAGTACCTGCAAGCATCCCCCATCAGAGATGATCAATCCAATAACATTAGCTTTCTTCAACTTTGGCAATACCTCCTCGAGGTAAAATTTTGGTGATGCAGAGTTTTTGGGCTTAAAAAGAGGGAACTCATTCCTTTTTCTTGCGGCTTTCAAGCTCTCAGGGAGGGCCTTAGCAATGATAACATCATTTTTAAGAAAGGCTATAAACTGCTCTTCATCATAAAGATAGGAGAAACTCTTGAACTTGTTGCTGCACAGAATGTAAAAATAAACTAGAGTTAAGAAGAGTCCGATATCAAGGCAAAGAAACATGCTTTAACAGAAAATAATGGAGAAACTTGCAAAGAGGCGCACCTAATGCCTTTTGAGCGAAGACTTTCTTGAAGCTCTGGAATGATAAGAGTAGCATTTAGAAGCCTGGATATGGTGACAAGATCACATATCTAGAAAATTTGCAAAGCCGTTAAGAAAATGCATAACAGAAAAAAATAAAGAGGAATCTTAAATTATCGAGTCAGCTGATACATACAGAAGATCTTATCTTGTCAAATCCACCAAATATCTTTGCATATATGAACCCATTGTTTTTTGAACTGGGTGCTGCAAAGAGACAGTACCAAGAAAAGTTAACAAACCCGATAGATTCCAAAGTTCAGATTTCACAAAAGATCCCAATAGACTTTTCATGTTCGAACAAGTGTCAAACACAACATACACCATCCATAACACTACTGCAGACTAAACACTTCAACTTGAATATGATTGAGCATTTACGAGGCAGCAGTGATCAATGCCGAAAAGAAAACACTCCACATCAAAGTAGCGAAAAAGGTATATTGTCTTATCTAAGAACTCGTTTGAATCCAATTTGTGCATGCAAACAAAGTTAGATATAGTACCAGGATAACTATTCCTTGGATTGGCATAAGGCTGCAAAGTCTCCAACGATTTGACAGGTCGCCACAAGTGCTTATTTCTAAAATCCTGCAAAACAGTAAAAACAACAAAATGGGAAACGAAATTCTTCAAATCACCAATTCAAATTTGAAAACCTCCAAGAATCCAATTCAATTATCGTTATCTTTACCTGTGCACCTAACAAAGAATCAAAATCTTTCCAAAGGGTATCTCTTGCATAAGAAGCCAACTGCACACTTGAAGACTTTGTCATGGAAAGATGAACAACAAGAGATCCCACTGATAAGATCATCACAAAAAGCGCAATCCATTTTATTCTAGATTTGAACACCA